CCTGCCACAATGCCCAGCTATTTTTTTTTTCTCGCAGGCACCCGGACCAATAATCACCAGCTTCCCAGGTACCAAAAATTGTGTTTCCTCTCTTGATATTGATTCCGCTCGAAGAGCAGTCGAGTTGCCCCACGTGTGCCACTCACAACAGAAGCCTGGCTATTTTTTGGTGCATTTGTCATTGTTGCTTAGCTGGCCCAGGCCGGGTTCAGACCTGCCACCCTCAGTGCATGTGGCTGACGCCATAACGAGTGTGCTATGGGCGTCAAGCCCAGGTGTTCTGTTCTGTTTGATTCTTTATTCCCTCTTCTGCTGTGTGCTGGTTGGTTATCCGTTTCCAGGATGATCTGGAAGCATATGTTGAAGAAGGTAGAGCCTTTTCCAGCTAGGATTCCTACAAGACAATGTGGAGAAAGTCCCTCCCCTGCCCTGGTCCACACTGGATTGTGATAGATGCAAAAAGAAATTATTATTTTGTTGTGCCACTGAGATTGGGTGTTCTGTGTTTAGCCACTGGCATAACTTAACCTAACTCTTTGCTGAAAAGATGCTTGAGGAGATCTTTTTATGGTTCCTAAGTGAGATGATGGGATTTCCAGGCTCATATGTGAGATACTCCTTTAGACCATCCATGACATGGGTACGTTACTGTGTGAAGTGAAGGAAAGATTTTTGAGGAGTTATAACAAGAAATGGAACTTGCAGAAATATCAAGATATGTTGGAGACTTTTATCCCCTGGTCATAGTGTCTGTTTTGGCACCCCTTATTTTGACATAGGTAAACAGGAAAGTGGGTCTGCAGGTGGGTGTGTCTGTCTGTTCCTCTCCTTCCCAGGACTAACTCTGGCAAAGTCCAGACTTCCTATATCCGTTGTCCCTCCTCTAGGTTGAATGCCAGCAAGGTCTAAGATTTATAACATGTGCTTCCTTAACACTGGAGAAACCTGCAGGTGGTGATGGTCTCAAGGTGTCTTCTTGTTTCAAAACCTTTTAGTTAGAAATGTCACTAGATCTCAGCTGGCCACAAGCCAGCTGGTATCTCTAAAAACCACCTCTAGTTGAAGCCAAAAAGAGTGGTTCATCAGCTTCTCAAAAAATAAGGAAACTCTGAATTTTACACATTGTGAGTGAAAGCCCTTGGAAAAGTACTTTACCATTGGACTTAATGCACCCTGTAAGTTGTCAAATGGCTGTTATTTGACATGTTACAAATGGTTTCATGCATAATAGTGTTATTTGCGATTTGTTATTGCTCTTGTTTATTTGTATTTGGAGACAGAGTCTCTGTTGCTTGGGCTGGCTTGCAGTCCCTGGGCTCAAATGATCCTCCTGCCTTAGCCTCCCAAGTAGCTCTAAGACATGCACCACTATGCTCACCTAATTTTTCTATTTTTTTAAACTTTATTTGAATCAATATGAGGGTATAAAACTTAGGTTACATTTTTCTCACTTCCAGGGCAAAGTTCCATTTGTAGAAGAGCCCCTCACCCAAGGGATATGTTATGCACCCTCACAAGGTGCACATTAGGTGAGATCCTGCCTCATGCCCTCCCTCCCTCTGCCATACATCCTCCCCATCAAATTTTTCTATTTTTGTAGAGATAGGTCTAACTGTGCATGCTCCACAACATCTGGCTAATTTTTCTATTTTTAGTAGAGACCAGGTCTCACTCTTGTTCAGGCTGGTCTCTAACTCTTACTAGAAATAATCCACTCACTTCAGCCTCCCAGAGTGCTAGGATTACAGGTGTGAGCCACCGTACCCAGTTAAATGCTTTTTGAATTGGTAACACTTAATTCAAAAATAGAACCAGGCTCGGCGCCTATAGCTCAACCGGCTAAGGCGCCAGCCACGTACATCTAAGGTGGCGGGTTTGAATCCCCAGCCCAGACCCGCCAAAACAACAATGACGGCTGCAACCAAAAAATAGCCAGGCATTGTGGTGGGCGCCTGTGGTCCCAGCTACTTGGGAGGTGGAGGCAGGAGACTTGCTTGAGCCCAGGAGTTGGAGGTTGCTGTGAGCTGTAATGCCATGGCACTCTACCCAGGGGGACAGCTTGAGGCTCTGTCTCAAAAAAAAAAAAAAAACAAAAATAGAACCAGCTCAGTCCTGTAGCTCAGTGGCTACAGTGCCAGCCATGTTATACTGGAGTTAGCGGGTTCGAATCCAGCTCGAGCCTGCCAAACAATGACAACTATAACCAAAAAATAGCCAGGCATTGTGGCGGAAGCCTGTAGTCCCAACTAATTGGGAGGCTGAGGCAAGAGAATCACTTAAACCCAAGAGTTTGAGGTTGCTGTGAGCTGTGACGCCACAGCACTCTACCAAGTGCGGGATAATGAGACTCTGTCTCCAAACAACAACAACAACAAAATAGAACCATTTCCCCAGTAGCCACTGTTATTAGTTTCTAATGTGCTCTTCAAGAATTTCATTTAACACACATAAGCAAATATACATGTATTCTTATTGTCTTCCCCATTTCCCTACACAAAATAGAGCTCACTACACACACTGTTCTGCATCTTGTCTTTTTCACTTAACATTATTTCATGACAATCTTGCATTTCAGTTGCTTGTTTTTAACAGCTGCATGTTTATTTAACTTTATTTTGAAATAATTATGGATTCATAGTAAGTTGCAAAGGTATAGTACAGAGAGATCCCATGTCCCCTTCACCCAATTTCCCCTAATATATCAGCACATGGATTTTAAAACTGTAAGTTTAAATAACAGTAGTAAAACACTGTTAGCACTACTCTAAGTGCTTTGCATATACGAATTTATTAATCCTCAAAATTTTTCATCCCATATACAGATGGGGAAATTAAGGTACAAAGAGGTTAAGAACTTGCCCAAATAACAGAGATAGTAATTAATCAGGACAGGATTTGGATCCAGGCAGTTTGGCTTAAGAGTCTGGGTTCCTAACTCTTAAACTACATTAACTCCTTTAAGTAATAGGTATTTATATTAACAGTTAAGCAAACCCAAACAACGATTGGAAGGATGGAAAGTACAATCACTTTTAATTCTTTTTGCAGATGTTCATGAATGTACGGTGTTCAGATATTATAATTTAAGATATACTGCTCTAAAACTTACAAGAGGTCTTAATATTGAAGAACTTTCCTTATCAACATAGCGGACCTCCTAAATTATTTTATGCTATCTGCTGCATATGTTACTATATGACTGTTCCTTAATTTATTACAGATAAATATTTAGGTGTTTCTGAATTTCTTTTATTACAATAATAATTGGTGCCATAAACATTCTTGCACATGTATCTCCACTTACTTATGGGAGTAAATGTACCATATAAAATCCTAGAAGTGGAATTGCTGGCTCAAAGATACGTGTGTTCTATGGTTTAATAGAAACTGACAGATTCCTCTTCAAAAAGATGGCTGCAGTCATGCTTCAATCTTGCTTTCTTTTCTTCATTATCCGTACAACCTCTATTAGGGATTCCTTTATAATGATGAGAACTGCATTGAACCAATAAATCCATTAATGTGAGCTTTGGTCTTTATCACGAATGTGTAAATCTTACCATTTTCACTGTAAAAAGTAAAATTTTGTTATTCAAAACTACAATATTGTTAAAGTTGCTGTCTTACTAACTGTAATTGGTGGCAGTACTGAACAGTCTTAGAGTCACAGATTCATGTAAGTGAGCTAGTTATAAGAAATGTTGAAACAAGAGACTTAATGAAAAAAAAAACAAATTTACTGTTTAGGCAAAACTGTAGACTCTTCTTGTAAAAAACCAAGCTTAAAAAAAAAAAAAGCTAAAACGGGACAAGGTGCTTTTCTGGGGGAGTTCCAGGTTCCGATGAATTACGACCCTCATGCCCGCTAGAGGTCACTCCTCACAAGCAACTTTTCCCTAAGCAGCTGGTACCTCTGAAAAATAGCATCATTTTTGACCTTTTGGTATTTATTTATAAAGACACTTCGAACTTTTGGTTTGTTTGTTTATTTATTTATTTATCCAGAGTGTCACTTTGTCACCCTTAATAGCAGCAACCTCAAACTCTTGGGCTCAAGTGATCCTCTTGCCTCAGCCTCCCAAGTAGCTGGGACTACAGGCTCTCTCCATAACATCTGGGTGTTTTTTTAGAGATGAGCTCTTGTTCTTGCTCAGGCCTCTAACTTCTGAGCTCACAGTGATCTACCCATCTCTCTTTTGGTCATTTTTTAGCTGGACACACATTTCTTTTTTTTGGACACACATTTCTTATAAAATAAGCTGAATTTGTTTTAGGAAGTTACCCAGTATCAAGATTTCACTTTGACTTTTAAACTCACAACAGACCACAAAAATTCATGTTCAGCAGTTTCATTATCACTTCTGGCCTGGATCCACTTAGCATCAGGTTGAATTTTGTTGCTTTTGGATCTCTTTCCCTTCCTTAATGTCAGAGATCCACTTACGAATGTATTTGTTAAATTTCTGAGTCTTCTCTCTCTTTCTCATTCTGGCAAAAGCAAAAGCACCTGCTTCCAGTTTTTTGCTCTTAGGAAAGATTCCAGGAACACAGCTGGAGAAAGGAAGAAGTTTCAACAAGGAGCGTGCTGGACATTGAAAGAAAAATCTTTTAGCATTCCAATCTTCCACCTGGTTTTAACTGTCCGTTACCTTTGGAGATGGAATAATTTTTTACTTAGAGCCTGTTTTATGATGAAGCTAATGAAATTGAAGCTTCAGAACCTTACTTATACAAGTCCTTTCTAAGGCTCCATACCAAACTTTGTTTTGGTAAATTTGTATTCTTTTTCCTTTTGCAGACAGGGGCTCACTCTGTTGCCTGGGCTACAGTGTAGTGGCATCGTCATAGCTCATTGCAACCTCAAACTCTCAGGCTTAAGTGATTCTCCTGCCTCAACCTTCCAAGTAGCTGAGGCACAACCATGCCCAACTAATTCTTCTGATTTTTGTAGAGACAAGATCTTGCTATGTTTCCCAGGCTGGTCTGAAAATCCTGGACCTCAAAGGATCCTCCCACTTCTGCCTTCCAGAGTGCTGGGATTACAGATGTGAGCTACCTCATCTGGCCTTATTCTTTTTCTTAAAGAGAGTTCCCTTCCCCCTACATTGCAAAAATTCCTGGCCCCTGAAACTAGTCCATCCCGGTTTTAGGAATATGGAGATAGGTAGGATTTTCAAATTTTAAACTTGTGTGACCTTGGACAAGTTACTTAACCCCTGTAGACCTCAGTTTTCTTTCTTTCTTTTTCTCTCTCTTTCTCTTCTTTCTTTTTATCTCTTTATTTTTCAAAAATTTAATGGATATATGTACATATTTGGGGGGTACATGTGATAATTTGATACATTTATATAATCAAGTAAGGCCAATTGGCATACTTTTGTTCATTCTTTTTTATTTCAGATTATTGTAAGGATACAAACAATTATGTTACAATGTTTGTGTTTGTTAGGAAAAGTGTCTGTCGTAGTGTCCTGCACCAGAAGGTGTGCCATATACCCTTACATTGTGCCCATTAATTGGGAACACAGCAATCTCCCCTCCCCTCGCCCTCTATCTTGAATTGAATTGAGTTGTTCTTTTATGTGAGTGTGTATTAGATTATCTACTTAGGCCTCGATTTTCTTGTCTATAAATAGTATCTTTTAAAAATTTTTTCAA